GGAACCGTGAAGAAGAATGAAAAGACTTAAATCTATTTTACTGTTATCACTGAGAGGTAACTGAATATGATTGAAATCGACTGTTGGTGAACCACTCCCTATGAATGGTATTGGTTTTTCCTCTAATGAAAGTAGATCACGAATGATTGTAGGGGCCATAGTGGCGAAGTACAAGTGTGGTCATAATTTCTAACTGTTTTACCGTATATTAAACTAAATTATTTCCCATTCATAATGGTAATTGAGGATTGCCTCTATCCTCTGCTGATATAAGTTAAAATGGCTTCCCGTGAATATCTATAACATTTATAACTGAATCGAATCGTTTGACTGTCTAGCAAAGAACTGATTGGTTATCCATGCTTATATTGTTTATTGAATTGAATATGTTTCTCACTATTTTATCTTGTTATGCCATGTTCTTGTTAAATCTACTATTTTTTTATCGTTATGTTTTTACTGGTTATGTATAAGACTGGTATTTCTAAATGTATCTTAATTAAACAAAAGTAATGAACCCATTCTGTGACAGCCTTCAACGATAAGTTCATTAATTCTAAAGGTAACGATAAGTTTTGAAAATGGATAACTTTTGAAAGTTTAGTAGTGTAGTTTAAATACTATTTTTCTTACTGAGTTTTATGGAACTTAATCCATTTACCCCCAGATGATGAGAAAAGTGAAGAATCGCTCCTCGAACTGCCTCTTGAAGCTTGTTTGGATATGTTTGCAGATCTATAGTGGACCTTCGAGTGCATGTGAATGATTGTACTTTGACTAATAATTATTTTGTAATGAAAGAACTTGCTAGAACAAGTGTTTTATATATTCTATTATTCAATTTCTTGACCTTAGATGTATCTGAACATCAGATTTTTTTTCTTTCGTGGTATAATTCTTTTATGCACTCATATCTATTCTGCTATCGGACATTGTTACCCCACTAGGTATCGCGATGTCACACAATATGAGTGCAATCACACTGCGGAGTAGTACAGAGTTATAAAAAACTTATTGTCGGGTAGGCCTTGGGCAAGGCTTACAGAAAAACATAAAGTCAACGACTGTAGTGGACGATGAAAGAGACAAAATAAAGCCAAATTCTGGCTAGCCAACACAATTGGCAATTAGGCCTCTTTTTCTAAAAAGATTTGCAAAGTCAAAGAAAGAAAAAAGAGGATAAAGAAATTCTTGAAACCTTCTGCAAAATCGAGTTAAATATCCATTTACTTGATGCAATCAAACAGGTACCTTGATATGCCAAATTTCTAAAGGATTTATTCCCTAGAAAAAGAAGCTGAGCTGAAATGAAAAGGTAAGTATGGAGGAGAATATCTCAGCTATAATACAAAGAATATTACCCCTCAATATCAAAGACCAAGGTATATTTGTTATCTCTTGTAAAATAGGTACCTTAGGTATAAGAAAGACCATGTGTGATCTAGGAGTTTCAATAAATGTATTGCAATGTCCATCTATTCTAAGTTAAACATTGGACCATTGAAGGAAACTATTGTCATAATTCAGCTAGCTGATGGGTCAGTTGTTTACTTTGAGGGAGTTCTATAAGATGTACTGGTCCAAGTAGACAACCTTATTTTCTTTACTTACTTCTATTTGCTAGATATGGAGGATGACAAATTCTCTAACTCATCTTATCATTTGCTAGGCGGGTCATTCCTTAGCACTGTCATGATAAAGATAGGTGTACAAGATGGTACCCTTACCATAGAATTTAATGGAGAGGTTGTGAAATTCAATGTTTATGATGGCATGAAGTATCTTAGTGGTGTATCTTGTTTGTGCCATAGATTTTATAAATAAAAAATACTTTGACTTATGCTATGGTGATGAGTTAAATGTTGTACTCTGAATGGTCTAAAT